TCTATAGCTTTTCTTCTTCCTTCCTAATTACAACCCTTAAATAGAATTCGTGCCTCATATCGAATTTACCGAGTATCATAATTCCTCCAGGTGGTAAAGATACCTCGAGACAAGTGCTGGGCATAGAAGCCACAGGGCATAAATCTGCAAAGAAGTAAAAAGCTAACCTTTTCAAACAATATGGCTTCTCTCTCACTTACCAACTTTACATTTCCCTGTATGGCCCCGGAAGATGACTGGTTAGCCAGAGACGGGTAAGATTCCTCAAGGGAGGAACAACCTAAGACAGGCACAGTCGCAGGGGGGCCATCAGGTGAGAAATTGGGGATCAACAGAGGTGAGGCTTAGAACCTCACCCCCCCTGTTTTGAGAGAAATCCTCTGCATCCGTGGATGTTTTATTGCCCTTGTCTAGCTTGGATTAACACATAGTCTACAGGCACACACCTGATCATCTACATTTGCTCTCTTACAACACTAAACTATGTTTTTTATCTTTATTTTGCATCTACCTACCACTTCAGCATTTTATTAAAAAAAATAATAATAAAGGGAGAAATGTGGGATTCACATATAAATCAAGTATAAAAATCAAACAAATATTCATATTTGACCTGTTTATAGCTCATAATGAGTGATCAAAACCGAAAGTTTTTGTGATGACTGCCCTTGTACTGTTCATCATGTAAGAACTTATTCACTATGTAAGAATTCGTTCACCATGTAAGAACTTGTTCGTTATGCTTCAGAATATTGGAGACTGACGAGAATTAGGCTGGGGGTGGATTAATGATTGTGCATTGAGCATTGAGTCCCCTATACAGAATTTTATTGTTGTTAACAACCATTTGATCAATAAATATGAGAGATGCTCTCTCAAAAAAAAAAATTGTAATGCAGCTCCTCTGCAAATAAGAAAAGAGAAAAGGTGACAGAATGGATAAACAAGACCCATCTATATGCTGCCTACAAGAGACTTACTTCAGACCCAAAGACATACATAGACTGAAAACAAAGGGATGGGAAAAGATATTTTATTATGCACATAAAACGTAGAAAAAAGCAGGAGTAGCAGTACTATATCAGACAAAATAGACTTCAAAACAAAGAAAGTAACAAAGGACAAAGAAGGACATTACATAATGATAAATGCATCAATCCAACAAAAGGATATAACAATTATAAATATTTATGCACCCAACAAAGGAGCAACTAAATATATAAAATTAATACTAACAGACCTAAAGGGAGAAATAGACAGCAACACAATCATATTAGGGGATTTTAAAACCCCACTTTTATTAATGGATAAATCAGACAGAAAATAAATAAGGTAACAGAGGCACAGAATGACACGTTAGACCAGATGGACTTAACATATATACAGAACAGGCCCCCCCCCGCAGGGGGCGGGGGCTCTGCCACCTATTGGCTGCGCTGCTGTGGCGAGTCCCCACCAGCTCAGTGCCACCTCCGGGAGCCCACCGCCCACCTCAGTGTGCCAGCGCCCCTCGGCCTCGCCACCTCACTCTCAGGGCTCCTCAGCTCGCCAGCACCTTCGGGCCTCCTCTCACCCGCTCTGATCCTTGATCCCTTCGCCTTCCGCCCCTGGGTGGCAGGCACCACCAGACCTAACCAACAGTATCCCCAAGGGGGCTGTCCGAAGTGCAGTCTCTGCTCCCCAGGCCCCATGGCCAGAACTGCTCGCAGCCGCCATCACGTCTGCTGCAAATTCTGAAACTCCAAACTCAACTGTCTCCAAAGAGGCCAGCACCCAGTTCTCATCATCTACGACCTGCCAAGGCTATGTTTTACCAGAAGGCAAAATCATGCCAAACACCATTTTTGTTGGTGGAATTGATGTTAGGATGGATGAAACCGAAATAAGAAGTTTCTTTGCTAGATATGGTTCAATTAAAGAAGTGAAGATAATCACGGATCGAACTGGTGTGTCCAAAGGCTATGGATTTGTTTCATTTTATAATGACGTGGATGTCCAGAAGATAGTAGAATCACAGATAAATTTCCATGGTAAAAAGCTGAAACTGGGCCTTGCAATCAGGAAACAAAATTTCTGTGCTTATCATGTGCAGCCACGTCGTTTGGTTTTTAATCCCCCCCCACCACCACAGTTTCAGAGTGTTTTGGAGCAGTCACAACCCTGAAGCTTACATGCAGCCTCCAACCATGATGCATCCTATAACTCAGTATGTGCAGGCATACCCTTATCCAAGTTTACCAGTTCAGGTCATCACTGGATATCAGCTGCCTGTATATAATTATCAGATGCCACCACAGTGGTCTGGGGAACACAAGAGTTATGTTATACCTCCTCCAACTTATACAGCTGTTAACTACCACTGTAATGAAGTTGTTCCAGGAGCTGAAATGTTGACAAGTTAATGCTCCATTCATGAAGCTACTGCATCCTCTGGAAATGGCCCACAAAAGAAATCTGTGGACCGAAGCATACAGACGGTGGTATCTTGTCTATTTAATCCAGAGAACAGACTGAGAAACTCACCTGTTACTCAAGATGACTACTTCAAGGATAAAAGAATGCATCACTTTAGAAGAAGTCGGACAGTGCTTAAATCTGTTTGATCCTCTCTGCTAACTTTCTAGTCTCATTGGAAGTTGTTGGTTTTGAATATTAAGAGACTGAAAGTTGTTCACTATTATATAAATTTAATGCTGNATTAGCATGTATAGTGTTGGGGGCGCACGGGGAGGGCTGTGCAGCACAGAGAAGACAAGGAGTGATTTTGCAGCATCTTACTATGTTGATGGACTGTGACTGTGAATGGGGATGTGGGGGGGACTTGGTGAAGGGGGAGCCTAGTAAACATAATATCCTTCATGTAATTGTAGATTAATGATACCAAAATAAAATTAAAAAAAAAAAGATGTCCACACATTCAGTTTTTCAGAATTGTAGAAAATTTTGTTCTAAAGACCAAACAGAATGCTGTTTTATAGCCCAAAAGCATTGTGATGTCTTATCTGTATGCCTAGTCACATGTTTCTGCCATCCTATCAGCCAATCAGGGGCATCAACATAAATCCTTAAAATGGTCACAATCCCAGATTAATGCCATTAAGGGAAAAAAAGCTAGTTTACTGAATAAAGAATAAAGATAATAACTAGAATTAAAAAACTTGGTCATATCTGAAACTTCATTCCAGAGGCAACATACTGCATTTAAAAATCCATAGTACCAATGAACTGTTCACTTCAAAAGAAAAAAACTCCGTTGCAAATTTTTTGAGTAATTATATAAGTTCCCGTTTTGCACCCCCCAACCTTCTGCTTCAATTGGATAGCCATGACTTGGTTTTTCCTTGAAGAAAATTTCCAACCAAGGCAAAATATAACCTCACAAAACCACAACAGTACATACTTGATGCTGAAGTTCAGTGTTACCATTGTTAATCTCATTGCCTATCTTCAAAAGCCACTGTTGAATCATGCTAAATATATGTGCTTGGAGTACCCTGAGGGAAAAATCAAGTGAAATAAAGATAAGTTACGTACAGTATGAAAGTTGCAATCAGCACATGAAGGGGTTGTATTTGGCTGGGCCGAGTAAAGTTAGGTGTTAACAATGAGAACTCAGAGAAAGTGGATCAAAGAAAGCCCTGACTAACCTGGTATAATGGCTTACTCGCTGACACAGCCTTCCTAACTGCAGGTGGGTAGCAACTGGCACAATGTAGATGTTACCTTCAGTGGTAGCTCTCTATTGTCACAACCCACACTCACACCCTTTACATTCACCTCTAGACCAGGGAGACCACAAAGCAAGAATGAGTTTTAAAATTCTCTCGAGACCAGCTTCCAAAATGGCAGCAGGAGGGGTGAAGCTGACCCACTCCCCAGTGAAACTGGTGAAAATTATTTTTAAAAAAAATCTAAAGCCTCTGAAAATCATCCTAAGGACAAACAGTAAGTGGAAGAACGTCTATTCAAGACAATCTATGATGATTCAGTAAGAAAGGAGGAAGTCTATGGCATTTGAAACAAGGCTAACTCCCTCTTTTCCCCGTCAGCTCAGTGAGGCAGAAGCTCCACCCCAGACTGGGGCCGCAGGAAAGCAGGGCTCCCTCACCCTCCAGCTCCCTGCCAGGCGGCTTTCTTCCCCGAGGAACACATGTCAAGGTTTCTTATCGGACCTAATCCACCTTTTGCTGAGGCTTGGTACTGGGAAAATGCAGCTGACAAGTGGGGATTCACTTCCTCTGCCCAACAGAGAGTCACAGAAACTTACGAGCCAGAATTCATGTCCATGTCCTGCGGAACAGGGCCAGTAATGTTTAACAGTGCATCCAACTGAGATTTCATTTCATTAAATTTTTCACTAAGTTCTGACCATTCTTCAAGAATCATTTCAGGAAACGCCAGGAAGCTTTCCAACTTGAAAGAACAGAAGTCAAGAGAACTAATCAAACCTGCAAGAACTTTAGGGATACCTAGAAAAGTGAGAAAAGAAAGCATTAACTTTTAGAAGTACTTGCAAGTCTATTATTTCAACAATAAGTTATAAAGGACAAATGGGCAGGAGCATATCTTTTTTCATCTTTTTATTTACCCTACAGCTTGCCTGGTAAAGCATGTTGCAAAGAGTACTTCCTAAATAAATGTTTAGTGAATAAACACTGTGTAATTGGTGCTTTTGTTATTTATGGACTGTTGCTTTGATGACAGTATATATTCTGTTTCTTGTCTTCTTAGCTGAGAACCAAATGCGTTAAACCCAGAAACTGTAAACTATAGTTTTCTACAAAAGGCATTAATTTACTGAGTCATGCTATTAAGAAGGCAATGACTATAAACAGCTTCTTCATGATTACAGGACAGTTAATAACAGAAATGAGAACAGATGTAAGTCGTGAGTCATTATTCAGGTTTTCCTGAAGTATATAGTGTTAGTCTGAACAAGGATTGAGTCTGGATCCCAACATTTGACTGATTCACTGTGAGATTATGGCAAAATACCCTGTCTATACTTGTGTCTTTTCTCATTCACAAAAGAAATGAAACTGTGCCTGAGAGAGATAAAGAGATATAATTAAAAAGCAAACTTCTTCTCCTTGATAAAAATATTTTCATTGCCTCATCAGTAAAGTTTGATCTGTTAAAGTTTGATCAGTAAAAAATGATCTGTTAATTTCACTATCATTCACCATTTTGACATCCGCCTTTATTTTAAACCATTTATCACCTCATTTTTTCTCTGCCTACTATATTCTCACAGTTAAGTACTGCCATTTTGTATGTAACTATATTACTGCTGCTATAGATAATCAAGACTGTGTATTCCCATCTACTGTAGTATTACATTGAACAACAGTACCAGTCAATAGATCAGGGTTGCCTGGAACACTTTACTGGGAAAGATTCAGGACACAGTGAGTAAAAATGCTTTGATGAATTTTTAATGTCTCTCATGGGTTTGGGAGGATGGATTTCAGTATCTCTCATCGCAAAAAGGGATATTTGATCACCCTACTGGAGGGATAAAATTAAAGTTCAAAATCTGATAAGGAGTAGAGGCCCTGGTAAATGCACCAACCTTTCACTTATGACCCCTGAGCCCCTGAAGGGCTACATCTTAGAATAAGGGTAGAGCAGAAATAGATCAGCCCTCACAAAGCTTGAAGCCATATGTTATTTCAGCTCAGTCCCTATTTATATTAACATGATCTGCCCCTGCCTTAAAAGACCTGCCAGAAGAAAAAGTAAAACCACTCTTGTGAAATAGAGTACTATCCAGAGTCTCAAATTACAGATGGGTGAATTTCTCACACATCAATATCCAATATCAATCAAAATATCAGTCAGAAACAATGAGGACTAACTCAAAACCAAGACAAAATACATTTTTTAAAAAGGCCTTACAGAAAAAAGATATTATCCAATTATCAGACATGAACTTTAAAATTAACTGTGTTTAAAAATTTTAAGTTATCAGATGACAAGGTGGAGAATTGCAGCAGAGAACTAGAAACTCTAAAAGTTAATAAATTCTAGGTCTGAAATGAAAAATTCAGTAAATGTTTAAGAACAAATTAGAACGTACAAAGTACTAGAAGAAAATTGCTGTCAAGTTAGAATTCTCTACAACACAGATAATATATCATTTAAACAAAAAAAGGAAAATAAAAGCAAGAGAAATCATCAGCAGACCCAAACTATAGGAAATGCTAAACAGAGTGCCTCAGGGAGAAAGAAAATATGTGAGATAAACAAATGCAAATGTAGGAAGGTAATAATGTAAGGAGAAAAAGATCCTATTCTCCAAATTCACGAAAGGGAGAGACTGGTTATTCTTTGACCATAGACTCAAGCCATGAACAAGTTATCATAAAATGGGTTCAAAATCCTTTCCAATTAATCAAGGACAGCTTCTCAAGAATAACCATGCCTCTGAAAATCAACCCATCCAAGTCATCCTCAAATTACATATATTTTCTTTTAACTGTCCATTGGGCCCCATTCTGTTGTTTTATAGCTAAAGACAATCCTTCATTGCAGCTAATTCATAATTTTATTTAGTTTTCTATACATAAACACATCTGATGTTTTTTATTAAAGAGTTGTTAATATACAATCTTATGTTGGTTTCAAATGTACATCACAGTGGTTCAACATTCCCTGTGATCAACTTATACTGTGATTGTGAATTATTGTGCCCCTTTATCCCCTTGCTATCCCCTGCACCCATCCCAACCCCTCTCCCTTGGTAACCAGTAGTTACTTCTCAGTGTCCATGAGTTTACTGCTGTTTTAAACACATCTGATTTTATATGAATGAATGAATGTCATTGGATTATACATTCAACAAAGTATATAGAAGGAACATACCTCCACATAACAAAGGCCATATATGACAAGCCCACAGCTAACATCATACTCAACAGCGAAAAGCTGGAAGCTCTTCCTCTTCTAAGATCAGAAACAAGACAAAGATTGCCACTCTCATTACTTTTATTCAACATAATATTGGAAGTCATGGCTAGAGCCATTAGGCAAGAAAAAGAAATAAAAGGCATCCAAATTGAAAAGAAGGAGTAAAACTCACTTTCTGCAGATGACATGATATTATACATAGAAAACTCGAAAGATTCCACCAAAAAACTGTAGGAACTTATAAACCAATTCATTAAAGTTGCAGGACACAAAACCAATATACAGAAATCTGTTGTGTTTTTATGCACTAATAAAAAACTATTAGAAGGGGAAATTAAGAAAACCCATTTGCAATTGTATCAAAAAGAATATAAGACATAAGAATAAATTTAACTAAGGAGGTGAACGATCTGTATACTGCAGTACTCTAAGATGTTGATAAAAGAAGTTGAAGAAGACACAAATAAATGGAAATAATTCTGTGCTGAGGAATTGGAAGAATTAATATTGCTAAAATGTCCCAAGCAATCTACAGATTCAATCCCTATCAAAATTCCTATGACATTTTTCACAGAAATAGAACAAAAGTTCTAAAATATATATAGAACCACAATAGATCCCAAATAGCCAAAGCAGTTCTGAGAAAAAAGAAGTCGGAGGCATCATGCTCATCATGCTCTTGATTTCAAACTATATTACAAAGATACAGTAATAAAAATAGTATGGTATTGGCATAAAAACAGGCACATAAATCAATGCAACAGAATAGATGGCCTAGAAATAAACTGACACATGTAAGGTCAATTAATTTAGGACAAAGAAGGCAAGCATATAGAATGAAAAAGGACAGACTCTTCAATAAATGGTTCCGGGAAAACTGGAGAGCCGTATGCAAAAGAATGAAACTGGGCTGCTATCTTACACCAAACACAAAAATCAACTCAAATGGCTTAAAGACTTTAACATAAGACCTGAAACCATGAAAGTACTAGAAGAAAACATAAATGGTAAATACCTTGACATTGGAGTTAGCAATGTTCTTTTTGGATTTGACACCAAATCAAGGCAATAAAAGCAAAAATCAACAGCAGAACTTCATCAAATTAAAAAGCTATTCTAACAGGAGATAGCTCATTGCAGTTTTGATTTGTATTTCTCTGATGATTAGTGATGTTGTGCACCTTTACATGTACCTGTTGTACAGCTGTATGTCTTCTTTGGAAAAATATCTATTCAGGTCCTCTGCCCAGTTTTTAATCAGATTGTATTTTTTTGGCCTTTGAATTATATGAGTTCTTCATATATGTTGGATTTAACCTCTTATCAGATATATGCTTTGCAAATACATTCTCCCACTCAGTAGTTTGCCTTTTCATTTTGTTGATGGTTTCCTTTGCTGTAATTAACAACTGTATTGTACACTTGAAACTTGCTAAGAAAATAAAAGTTCTCACTACACACACACACACACACACACACAAACGGTAATCATATAAAGTGATGGATGTGTTAACCAAACTTATTGTGGTATAGAAAAAAATAAAATGAAGAAAACAAAGTTATTGTGGTAATCATTTCACAGTATATACATTTATCAAATCATCACTCACATTGTACACCTTAAACTTATACAATGCTATATATACTATATTTCAATAAAGTCAGGTGGAACAAAAGGAATAAAAGAGAACTTCCTAAACCTGGTTGCTATAGATATTGAATGTTTGTGTCACCAAAGGGTCAGATGTTGAAATTCCCAATGTGATGGCATGTGGGGATGGGCCCCTTGGGAGGTGATTAAGTCATAAGGGTAGATAGAGTTCTCATGAATGGAACTGGTGCCCTTATAAAAGAGACCCAGAGAGCTCCCTCACCCTCTCATGCCATGAGAGGACACAACAAGAAGACCGCCATCTATGAAAGAGGAAGTGGGCTCTCACCACAGGGATAAATCTACTATTGCCCTGATTTTGGACTTCCCAGCCTCTAAAACTGTGAGAAACAAAATTCTGTTGTTTATGAGCCACTAGTCTATGTCAGTTTGTTGTAGCAGCTCGAACAGACTAAGATACTCATAAAAGGCATCTATGAATTACTACAGCTAATATCAGATTCAGTGGTGAAAGACTGGATGCTTTCCCCTTAAGATCAAAAACAAAGACAAGGATGTCTGTTCTCATCACTTCTTTTCAACATTGTACTAGAAGTGTGAGCCAAGAAAAGTATGCCAGAAAAATACAGAAAAGGAATACAGAATGGAAAGGAACAAAAAAACTATCTTTTCACAGATGATATGACCTTGCAAATGGAAGATCCTAAGGAATCTACTAAAAAAACTATTCTAACTAAAAATGAGATCAGCAAGTGGCAGGATACAAGATCAAAATAAAAAATTAATTCTATTTCTATGCACAAGCAATGAACAATCCAAAAACGAAAGTGAAAAAATAGCATCAAAAAGAATAAAATACACAGGAAAACATTTAACAAAGGAAGTGCAAAACTTATTCTCAGAACATTACAAAACACTGAAAGAAACTAAAGAAGATCCACTAATTGGAAAAAATCCCAGGTTTATGGATTGGAAGATTAGACATTGTTAAGATGCCAAGCCTCTCCCAAACAGAATCAGAGATGCAACACAATCCCCATCAGAATCCAAGCTTGTTTCCTTCTAGAAAGTAATAAGCTGTTTCTAAAATTCATGTGGAATTGCAAGTGATACAGAATAGCCAAAACAATCATGAAAAAGAATAAAGCAGGAGGACTTAACACTTCTAGATTTTGAAATTTACTACAAAGCAACATAAATCAAGCAGTGTGATATTGGCACATGGACAGACATAGAGATGCATGGAATAGAACTGGAAGTCCAGATATACACCCATACACCTACGGTCAAACTGACTTATGACAAGGGTGCCAAGACCATTAAATGTGGAAAAGACAGTCTTTTTAACAAATGGTGCTGGGATAACTGGATATCCACAGGTAAAAAAAATAAGTTATACCTCTACCTCCCCACATATGCAAAAATTAACTCAAAACAGCTCAAACACTATAAGAGCAAAAAGTATAATACTCTTAGAGGAATTCGTAAGGGTAAAAACTTCACAGTTTTGAATTTGGCAAAGGATTTATAGACATGACACCAAAAGCACAAACAAATAAAATTTTTTTAAAATACATAAATTGGTCTTCAACAAAATTAAGAACTTCTGTACTTCAAAGGACACCACCAGGAATATGAAAAGGCAAATCACAGAATCAGAGAAAATATCTATAATTCATATATATATGAAATGGGACTTGTATCCAGAACATTTAAAGAACTCTTACAACTCATTAGTAGAAAAACAAATAACCCAATTAAAACATAGACAATGGGTCTGAATAGACTTTTCTCCAAAGAAGAAATACAAATGGCTAGTGAGACCTTAAAAAGATGTTCCACATTCTTATTAGGAAAACACAAATAAGTCAAAACCACAATAAGATACTATTTCACACCCACTAGCATGGCAGAAAGTCAGGTAACAAGAATGTGGAGAAATTGGAACCCTCATACACTGCTCATAGGTATATGAAATTTTTTTAAAAACAGTGTGATAGTCCTCAAAAAATTAAATGTAGAATTACCACATGACCAGCAATTCTCCTCCTAGGTATATGCCTAAGAGAAATGTAGACAGGGGGCTGCACAGGAACATGGAGACAAATGTTTGTGGCAGCATTATTCATAACAGCCAAAAAGTGGAAACAACCCAAATGTCCATCAATAAACAAAATGTGATATACACATATAATGGAAAATTATCAGCTGTAAAAATGAATGAAGAACTTGATACATGCTAAAACATAGATGAACCTTTTAAACATTATGCTAAGTGGAAGTCAGTCACAAAATATTGCATACTATGAGATTCCATTGTATGAAAGTCCAGAAGAGCGAAATCTATAGCCATAAAAAGTAGACTTAAGACTGGGGAGGGATAGGGGGATACAAAAGTGACAGCTAAAAAAATATTTTGATAAAAAATATTCTAAAATTGTGATGATGGCTATACATGTCTCTGAATATACTAAAAAAATCAGTGAATTGTATACTTTAAAAGGTAAATTGTCTTGGATGTAAATTATATCTTAATAAAGCAATGCTCAATGCTTTATTTTGCTTGATTTTTAAAACTATATGCATATATTTTTATTTTAAATATTAATTATGTTGAAAATAATACTGTTGAAATTCTTTATAATGTCAAGCAATCTAATCATTGTGGTTTGTTTCTTACCATTATCCCCATTTATTCTTATTTCAAATTCTTTGTAGAGTCTTCCTATGCTTTCCACAGTTTCCTCCATGTGCTGCTGCTCTGGTGGAATCTCCCCCTTGATACTTTTATGGCAATTGAATATCCCAAGCCCAATATCTATCCAACTTTCCTGTAAATGTTTAATAATCTTGAGAGAATTATATTTGGACGCTAGATGATCCCCAGTAAACTTCTCTTTATCGTCCTTCAGCAGCTAGAGAGTGAGAGGAGGTGAGGAAATTAGCACATTATTGACTAATGATTCATCAAAACCTACCCAGATCCTTATTTTCCAGTGGCTCCCAATTACTTTGAAGTTGCATACCCTATCATTATTTGCTAACACCATTTCTTCTCAAAATGGTATGTGATATACATTGTATTTTTTAAATTGAGGTGAATTTAAATTAATTATGATAGTTTGGCAATATGAAAATAATTATACTAAATCTTATTGGGTAAAAAATTAGTGGCAAGCAATTAAGTCCAAGAGAGCTGAGCATGTTTAATTTCTATATGCTTTTGTAAAGCTAGATCTGTTTACATGAATCTCACTAGACTGGAGAAGTATCCTGAATGTACAGGTTGAGTTTTATTCATGTTTTATTTGTCTGTGTAACCTCAAGTCCAAGTCTTGAACATGACATATCAATAAATAATTGTGGAAAAAAGAAAGTGCAATTTATATATGTTTTGCCATTATTTGTGACTCAGATAATGGAAAGTCATCCATACTTCAATAGATAATCAGGACAGGGAAGCAATATAGCAAAACAATTAAAGGTAAGTGTTTTGGCGTTAGACCTCAAGTCACATTCTGACTCAGCCACTTACCATTTATAGAAAACTTAGACAAGTTACTTAACATGTCTAAGCTTCAATTTCCACATCTGTGAGATGGGGATATGAACCTGCATCATGTGGCTGCCAAGAAGAGTAAGATAACATGTGGGAAACACTTTCAGACTGGAAAGGGCTTAATGAATGAGGTTATTATTATTCCTACTAAATAAAGAAGCATCAGTTATTTTTTTCAATTTTATCTATGCAATGTAAAAATTACCAGATAAACAGTAAAAAAAAGTCACTAAACTGGAGATAATATACATAGGACAACAAACTTCTTCAATTCCAAGAATATTCCATTCAAGTCATTTCAAAAAAACGTAAACAGCTTCCTGGGATCCAGAGACGATTTCATCGGGTCCTAAGTTTAAAATTCACTTTGGAAGTATTTCATTGCCTTACATATTTTCCTTTGTCAGACTACTATATAACATGATAGCAATTTGATTAATGAAGCCTATTCTCAAAGCTCAAACCCTTTCAAAAGATGTTATTAATAAACAAAGTATGGCATATACATACAATGGAATATTTTTCAGCATTTAAAAGGTAGGAAATTCTGACAAAATGCTACAATCTGCATGAGTCTTAAGGACACTGTGCAGACGGGAACACATTAGTCATACAGGGACAAACATTTTATCATTCCATTTATGGGAGGTGCCTAGAGCAGTCGAAACCATAGAGATAGAAATAGAATGGCGGCTTCCAGGGGCTGGGGGAGGAGGGATACGGGGCTACTGTTTAGTGCACACAGAGCTTCAGTTCAGGAAAGATGAAAAGGCTCTGGACCTGGATGGTGATGGCGGTTGCACAGCAATGTAATGTACTTAATGCCTCTGAACTGTATACACTTATAAATGACTCAAAAGGTAAATTTTATATTATGTATATTTTACTATAAGATGTTATTAATTTTAAAAGTCCAATTTGTCCTTTAGACACAAAGCAGGTACAGAAGAGGCACAGATGTTACTCATGTCTGACATCAGATGAGAGAATCAGAACTACCCTCACTGCTACCCAAGTGCTTTTCCCAATTTTTTTCTGTCAGGCTAATTTGATTTGACCCAAAAATCTAAAACAGAACTGAAAACAGAATAGGTAAGCATATTGTTTAAAGCCTCTGTAGTCTTGCTGTTTTACTTGTGTTTCACAAAACTTAGTATGGCATTTTTAAAGGATGAGGAGAGGCAAGTGTACAAACAGCATTTAATTACCAAGCTGTTTATTAGAAAGTCTTACCTTTTGCCACTGCTTTAAGTCTAGAAGAACTGATTCGAGGCTATTTCCTTTATTAGAGGATAAAATGTCCTTTTCACTGAAGGAAGGAAAAAAGCATGAGCAGGGGCTCAGAACAAGGCATAAACAAAGAAAATAAAAAATTAACATTAATTATGTTTCTCCCTACTGATCTTCAGGCATGCCTTCCGGGTTCAGCCTTTCTCCTCATAGGCATTCAACTTTAAATGGAATGTAAATATAAGTTCAGGCTCTAGTCAGACCTGAGTAACCAAGTTACAGGCTCAGAGGCCATGATAGTATTAAAAGGGTGGTCTCTGGGTCTTCAGCATACAAAATGATCTTCCTAAGAGTAATTCCTATTGAAGAGAGCTGCCAAAACAATATATAAATAGAAAAAAGTCTAATGAACAATTAAGACTCAACATTTAGGTCAGAAAACTTTCAGTCAGCAAGAGTTTCCTTTAATATCCCTGAGGCGTCACAAGGAGAAAGCTCTGGAGAAAGAAGTTCCTGAAGGGAGAGGGACAAGAGGACCACTGTCCCCTGGGTTCCCCTCCCAGCTGAGAGTGAACGAACAGTGGGAAGGGGCGCAGACAGCAGCTGCAGCTTCCATATGTATCAGCTTCAGCTTCCACAACTTCCAGACGTACTAACTGGGAAACCTCTTAGAGGATGTGAAAAACTGAAGCCCCTGTTTTCAATTGGAAATGGAAGTGTGCCTAAATGGGTTTCCTCAATAGACAAAGGATCTGAAAGTTTAAAAAAGCCTTAGAAATCATTGAGTCCAGCCTGCTTTCAAAGGATAGATTCCCACTAACCCTGGTTGTGTTTTAGTCATCCAGCCCCCCACTTACCTACTTTACAGGCAACCTTTTCCTGTCAGATTTGTCCAGTTGTTACAAAGTGTAATTTCCAGTCAAAATCAATCTCCTTTTGACTGCCACCCAGTGATTTCACTTCTCTGAACATGCACTACACTACAGAATTTGCAGATGGATCTAGATATTCAAGGTTGCCCATAGTAATGACATAAATTGATTTTAAAAAGAAAGGAAAGAAAAGAGACTTAAATGGAGGCAGCAGCAGCTGGGTAGAAGGATCAGGATGGACTAGACAGATGATCAGTATTAGAAAAATCTAAGACCATCCAAGCGCCTAGCAGGATTGTGCCTTGTAAAGGGTGCTGCTTACCTCACCAGAAATCACTCTTGAGTAATTACAAGGTAAAAGAGAAATAGGGAAAAACAGAGAAGAAGAAGAAGAAGAATTGGACTGAGTTATCAGACATGACATAGTATAATCAGAAAAGTAAGATTCTTGGAGACACACTTATTATTTCTGAAGAACTGCTGCCATTTGATAAGGCCATCCTTAACAATTTGCAGTTTCTCCCTTGTTGATTCTTCACTTTGTTCCACTTCCTGTTTAAATGTATTCATTAAGGTTCTCCATTTCTGGGTCAACTTTTGCAGCTGTGCAAGGTCTGCTGTGTCCTAGACAAAATGCATGGAATTAAACCACATATTCATTTATTTACAGAGCAACTGCTTGCTAGCATACACCAGGCTATAATTAATATTGTAATACTAAGAAAACCTTAGAAAATATATCAAACAATTGAAAAGATACTCCTCTTTCAAACTATCATCAGCAACAGTACTACACAATCCCCTTGATAGATTTTCTGTGGTACATAAAATATAAGGGACAAGATTTTTTCCTCTGTAGCATGAGCCCAATTTTCCCACAGAACTTTGATGGGAGGCAGTGTAGTACATTAGAAAGAACAGGAATTCCAAAGCCAAACAGAACCAAATGTGAATCCTAGCCATTTACTGGCTGTGTAACCTTGGGGGATATGATTTAATCCATTTGAGATTATTTTTCTTATCCATAAAATAAAGGCCCTGATATATATATATCTCACAGGATTGTTATGAAAATTAAATAAAATTACTAGTGCAAATAGTATGACTCAAGAAATAAACTAAATAATACTTTCCTCCTTCTCAACCTAGTGTGCTTACTGAATTTTCCCATAAAATTGAATAGAAATGCATTGATAATGTGACTAGCTCAATGAACACAGTTACTTACATTTTTTTAATTTAAGCAGTAATAAATAGAATAACTCTATAAAATAAACATTTGTAGAGTTATTAACTTAAGTTGCTTTAATTAGGGTAGAAGACAAATATAAAGAAGAGCCTTTATTTACTTTCCCTTAGATTTTTCATTTAGCCCACAAAAAAGCACAAATATAAAACTATATTTCAATTTAACCTAAAAATTTAGCCAAGGCTTCTCATAGTCTCAACCCTCCACAATTGGAGTCCCTTTCCCATAGCTTAAGAGAACTGAGCTTTACCTTGGCTGACAGCAGTATGATGAAATGCTTAGCATATTTATTCCAGCCTTTCTCACTGAGGTAAAGTCTTTTAGCTAATATGATTCTATTTCTTTCAATTACCTTTAAAGAAAGTACTAAAATTAGGAACCTAAAACATTAACAAACCAGTGTTAGTTTTTAAGCCCAAACCAACTTCACACATCAATTTTTCATTGAATCATTAACTCAATCACAATCTCTTGTTTAAATTATAAACTAATTTGAATCACAAATTCACAATTTCTAAAACTACTGGACTGGAATTAAACTGATGTACAGTATATAGCAGATGTTCCCAAACAATCTGATCTCAAAACTCTTCACACTCTTAAAAAATCACTGAGGTCTCCAAAGAGTTTTTGTTTATATGCATTATATCCATTGATATTTACTGTACTAAAAATTAAAACTGAAATTATTTAAAACATGTATTTGTTAATTCATTTAAACATAACATTAATAAACCCATTATATGTTAACATAGTTTTTTTAATGAAAAAAACAGACTATATTTTCCAAAGCAAAAAACACTAGAGAAAAGAACACCATGTTTTTTTACATTTTCATAAATCTCTTTAATGTCTACCTTAATAGAATAGAGCAGGATTTTCATTTTTGCTTCTGTGTTCAATCTGTTGCAATATCCTATATCATGTAGCTTCAGGAAAAATCTGCTGTATGCTCATGTGAGAATGAGAATGAAGAAGGCAAGTAACATCTTAGTATGTGATGAAACTAGTTTTGACCTCATGAAAGGGTCTCATGAACCCCCAGGGGGTCCTTGGACCGTACTTTGCAAACCACTGATATAGTGAATCAATGATACGTTCATTTAGTGAATAACTGTGCTAGACACTGGGCATATAGCCACGAACAAAAGAGACAAAGTCGTTATCTTCAGGGAGCTGACATTCTAGCTGTCATTTGGTCTAACCGAAAGCCCCATCAATTCAAGATATTCTCCTCGGAAAGAATACAGGTAGAGGACTAGAGTCAGTTCTCTACTGTTTAAATACTCGTAGATTAAGGGAACTTGTCTTCTTTTTTTTCTCCTACTGAACATGCCAAGCTCCCAGATTTGTTTCTTACATATTTTCTGTCTTGATTGTTTCCTCTGGACATGTCAATGTCCCTTTTATAATCCTGCATCAGGATGGAACACTGTGTCCTAAAAGAGGTCTGACCATTCCAGAGGAAAATGAGAAAAAAATATGAATCTGTTAAGGATCATAAGTTGCTATTAATACTATAAGTCCCATATGTAAGACTAAGCAACCAACCAGCAAATATTTTAGAAAAATAGAATATTTGGGGACTTTATTTCCCTAAAGCATCATCCACAAGCTGCCATACTTCAATTCATCTGTTATCTTGAGTACCAAGGTAACAGAACCAAAGTGTCTTCCAGTGATATCCAGTGATGCTAATATGGTTACATTACGTGAAAAAAATATATTTCACTTTCCCTAGTTTGTTATTAGCATAAAGTTGAAATTTTAACATGTTCACAAATAACAGAAAAAGAATTCTTGTTCATACTTCACAGGTTCTGGTGAAAAAAAGCCCTTAATTCGGCAGCAGACAGGTCTCGAACAGGGAAGAAACAGGAAGAAAGATGCAACTTTCCCTTCTTGAGGGCCATAATGGCTACATTATTTATCGATTATAAATATATGTTCACTTTTTAAATTTTGTCTAGATTATTGGAAAGTAGTGAAACACAACTTTATCCAGACAAAAAAAGAAGTCTGAGGTATAATTCCAGATGAACCAACCTTTAGAGCCAACTCATATGCAGCTGAGCTCCAGATATCTCTTTCTACCATTAACTGTTTAATATCATTTTCCATCCTTCCTCTTTGAAATGTATATAAGTCATGGTATTCTTCTACAATTCTAAAAGAAAAATTAAGGAACAGATGTTTAGAGACTTTTTTAAGAACAGAAATTTGTTCTAAAACAGGTACTTTGTTCCTTTAAAATTCATTATAAGGTAAGTATGGTATAATTGTTGGATATATTAATAACACTAACATTTACTGAAACAGAAGAAAAAATATTCACACTTCATTTATAAATCTTACAAAAGCCTTAAAGTAAAAAAAATTCAATATCTAGTTCCCTGCTGTAAACACTTTTAATCATATTATTTATTCACTAGTATGGTATTCCAATGGTATAATGACACTGTATCTCATGAAAAATTCAGAATACAAGTAGCACTAATGTAGAAGTTTTACTGTTAAGCTGTTTTTCTCATAGAATTAGGACTCTTTATTAAAGGCAAAAAGCCCAATAATTAGGAGCCACTGTATTTTATATAAAATTAGTATAAGATTTAAAGAAATACTCTATGAAATAATCAAAAGCTTAAGTATAATTAAATGCCTTTTTCTTAACTATTTTTTCTTCATGTTTACCAGAACATACCTTTTCCTTCTAATGTAGTGAAGCTTCTCTTAGATTTAAAAGCTGTTCTGAGATTAAATACAATCACGAGAGTTGTAAATTGACTGGCAGCATCTTACCAACCTTTTGAAACACTTCCTCCTAAGGAATATTAACTTTGCTGTAAGAATTAAAGACTAGTGACATAGAATTCTTCTAATTTTGCTAAAAGTAAGAATTATTAGCATCAGTTCCTGAAGCCTCCTCCTATTGGGAGGTTTCCACTTGCTCAAGGAAACTGAGGAAAAATTAATGACCCTAGGTGTCGCACAAATGAATACACATATAAAAATTCAACAAGCTACCTCTTAAGATTTCTGTACTTTACTCTCTGAAAGTTAGACCATAATTTTAAGAAGGGAATAAGGACCTTTGCTATAACAGCAAAAGAACAAAATTCACAAACAACCTTAATGTCCAGTAACAAGAGACTGGCCAAAACACATGACGGATACAGCTCTTAGATAAAAATACTCTGCAACTAGTAAAAGATCACGTTCTTAAGACTTTGATATATGGGAAAAATTTTTTGTTTTATAACATAAAATGAGAAAAACCCTAATGACAAAATTATATATTCAGTCTGACCTAATTTTTATTTAAAAAATAAAGAAAAAAGAAAAATATTAATAGTTGTTAGCTCTAAGAGAAAGAACTATGGATGCTTATTTCCTTATTTTATGGGTTTCTGTATTTTCCAAATTTTAAAGATAAGAACAGGTTGTTGGTGGAAAAAAGCACCGGTTAACAAACACAAAATCACACACTCTCTCACACACACACACACACAAATGAACCATACCGCTTCAGGACCATCAGTTTTTAAAGAGAATGAGGCTTCTCTCTCCCTTTCCCTTCCCTTCTCTCTGGTTTTATATGTTTTGTTCCTATAACAGACATTTGCACAAAAGGAGTTGGAGTTCTTATTTATTTTTTTAATGCATTCAACAGATACCTGCCTACTATATGCCAGGCGCTGTTCAAAACTAAACAAAGCAAAAACCCTTTGCCCTTATAAAGTTTATTTGGAAGAGACAATAAACACATAAAAAAATGAAACATATTAAGTAGTCATAGCTCTATAGATTAAAAAATGTCAGGGAAAGGGGATTGAGAGTCCAAAACATGTTTCAATTTTAAATAGGAGGATCAGGAAAGACCTTGAGCAAAGATCTGAAAGGAGGAGGCAGGAAGCTACACAGCTCTGGAGGAAGATGACTCCAGGCCCTGAAAAGGGAGCCTGCCTGGAGTGTTCAAGGAACTGCACAAAGGCAAGCATGTTTAGGGTAAAGGAGAAGCCAGAGAAACTCTGGTAGGGTAAGTCTTGTAAACCATTTTTTTTTAAAATATGACCTTGTACTGTAAGATGGGGAGACACTGTAGAATTTTGAGCAGAGAAATGACATTATCTCAGTCAAGTTTTAATAGATCACACCAGCTGCTATGTAGAAAACAGACTATAGCAGTGTGAACACAAAAGCAGAAAAGCTATTCAGAGGGTACTGCAATACCCCAGGCAGGAAATGAAGGTGACAGTAGTGAACGTGGTGAAGAGTCTACATGTGCAGTGAAAGGAGAGTTGACAGAATTTGCTGGAGACATGTGAGATGTGAGACAAAGAAAGGGATCAAGGATGACTTTAAGTATTTGGGCTCCAGAAACTGAGACGATGGAGTTACCAATAACTGAAGTGAGAAAAGAGTGTGAGCAGAGTGGGTTCGGTGGAACAAACAAGAATTCAGTCTGGGAATGTGAGGCATCTAAGTGGAAATGATAAGGCATTGAATATGACTGGAATTCTACAAGGTTGATCATGTAGATAAAAATGTGTAGACTCAAAGATTAGACCAGAAATAAATAAAATTGAGAATAAAACAATAGAATCAATGAAAGGAGGAGCTGGTTCTTCTAGAAAATAAACAAAATAAATAAAACCCTAGCCAGACTTATCAAGAAAAAAAGAGAGTCTACACACATAAACACAACTAGAAATGAGAAAGGAAAAATCACTATGAACAACACAGAAACATAAAGAATTGTTAGAGAATACTATGAAAAATTATATACTAACAAACTGGATAACCTAGAAGAAATGGACAACTTTCTAGAAAAATACAACCTTCCAAGGCTGACCCAGGAAGAAACAGAAAATCTGAACAGACCAATTACCCAGCAAGGAAATTGAACTGGTAATCAAAAAACTACCTCAGAACAAAGTCCCTGTACCAGATGGCTTCACTGCTGAATTTTATCAAACATTTAGTGAAGACCCAATACCCATCCTCCTTGAAGTTTTCCAAAGAGTAGAAGAGGGAATACTTCCAAACTCATTCTATGAGGCCAGCATCACTCTAATACCAAAACCAGGCAAAGACACCACAAAAAAAGAAAATTACAGACCAATATCCCTGATGAATATAGATGCAAAAATACTCAACAAAATATTAGCAAACCAAATTCAAAAATACATCAAGAGGTTCATATGCCATGATCAAGTAGGATTCATCCCAGGGATGCAAGGATGGTACAACATTCGAAAATCCATCAACATCATCCACCACATCAACAAAAAGGACAAAAACCACATGATCATCTCCATAGATGCTGAAAAAGCATTGAACAAAATTCAACACCCCTTCATGATAAAAACTCTCAACAAAATGTATATAGAGGACAAGTAACTCAAAATAATAAAGGCCATATATGACAAACCCATAGCCAACATCATACTTGGCAGTGAGAAGCTGAAAGCAAGGATACCCACTCTCCCCACTTTTATTCATAGTTCTGGAGGTTCTAGCCATGGCAATCAGACAACACAAAGAAACAAAAGGTACCCAGATTGGTAAAGAAGATATTAAACTGTCACTGTTTGAAGATGACATAATATTGTACATAAAAACCCCTAAGAATCCACCCCAAAATTACCAGAACTAATAACTGAATTCAGCAAAGTTGCAGGATACAAATTCAATACACAGAAATCTGTTGCATTCCTATACACTAATGATGAACTAGCAGAAAGAGAAATCAGGAAAACAATTCCATTTACAATTGCATCAAAAAGAATAAAATACCGAGGAATAAACCTAATGAAGGAAGTGAAAGACCTATACTCTGAACACTACAAGACACTCATGAGAGAAATTAGACACCAATAAATGGAAGTACATACCATGCTTATAGATAGGAAGAATTAATATTGTCAAAATGGCCATCCTGCCTAAAGCAGTCTACAGATTCAATACAATCCCTATCAAAATACTGACGGCATTCTTCAATGAACTAGAACAAATAGTTCTAAAATTCATATGGAATCACAAAAGACCCTGAATAGCCAAAGCAATCCTGAGAAGGAAGAACAAAGCTGGGGAGGTTACTCTCCCCAACTTCAAGCTCTACTGCAAAGCCACAGTAATCAAGACGATTTAGTACTGGCACAAGAACAGACCCATAGATCAATGGAACAGAATAGAGGGCCCAGATGCAAACCCAAGCATATATGGTCAATTAATATTCAATAAAGGAGCCATGCATATACAATGGGGAAATGACAGCCTCTTTAACAGCTGGTGTTGGCAAAACTGGACAGCTACATGTAAGAGAATGAAACTGGATTATTGAGTAACTCCATACATAAAAGTAAATTCAAAATGGATCAAAGACCTGAATGTAAGTCATGAAACCATAAATCTCTTAGAAGACAACATAGGCAAAAATCTCTTGAATATAAACATGAACAACTTCTTCCTGAACACATCTCCTCTGGCAAAGGAAACAAAGACAAAAATGAACAAATGGGACATCAAGCTAAAAAGCTTCTGTACAGCAAAGGACACTATCAGGAGAACAAAAAGGCATCCTACAGTATGGGAGAATATATTTGTCAATGACATATCTGACAAGGGGTTAACATCTAAAATATATAAAGAACTCATAGGCATCAACACCCAAAAAGCAAATAACCCGATTAAAAAATGGGTAGATATGAACAGACAATTCTCCAAAGATGAAATTCAGATGGCCAACACACACATGAAAAGATGCTCCATGTCACTAATTATCATGGAAATGCAAACTAAAGCCACAATGAGAAATCATCTCACACCAGTTAGGATGGCCAACATCCAAAAGACTAGGAACAACAAATGCTGGTGAGGATGCGGAGAAAGGAGACCCCCTCCTACACTGCTGGTAGGAATGTAAATTAGTTCAACCACTGTGAAAAGCAATATGGAGGTTCCTCAAAAAATTAAAAATAGAATTACCGTTTGACTTGGGAATTCCACTCTCAGGAACTTACCCAAAGAAAACAACTTCTCAGATTAAAAAAGACATATGCACCCCTATGTTGATCACAGTACTATTTACAATAGCCAAGATATGGAAGCAACCCTAGTGTTCATCAGTAGATGAATGGATAAAGAAGATGTGGTACATATACACAATGGAATACTATTCAGCCATAATAAGAAAAGAGATCCTACTATTTGCAACAACATGGATGGAGCTAGAAGGTATTATGCTCAATGAAATAAGCCAGGTAGAGAAAGACAAGTGCCAAATGATTTCCCTCATTTGTGGATTATAACAACAAAGCAAAACTAAAGGAACAAAACAGCAGTGGACTCACAGACTCCAAGAAGGGACTAGTGGTTACTAAAGGGGAGGAGTCAGGGAGGGTGGGTTAGGGGAGAGAGAAGGGGATTGAGGGGTATTATGTTTGGTACACATGGTGTGGGGGGGGGTTACGAGGAAGACAGTGTTGCACAGAGAAGACAGGTAGTGACTTTGTGACATTTTACTACACTGATGGACAGTGATTTCAATGGGGTATGTGGGGGACTTGATAATATAGGTGAATGTAATAACCACATTGTTTTTTATGTGAAACCTTCATAAGAGTGTATATCAATGATACCTTAAAAAAATGTGTGGGCTCAGAGTACATAGATGATGGGATTTAAAGCCAAGAAACTGAAGGGATTCGCTTAGGAAGTGAGTATAGACAGAGAAAAAAATCCAAGGTATGAGCTCTCTAATCTTTAGAAACTGGTGAAATGGGAAGGCACCTGCAAGGGATATCAGTAATAAAGAGCAGACAGCAGAGCAGAAGGAACACTGGGAGAGTATAATGCACCTGAAAGACCTTGTTTCAAGTAAGAACAACTGATCAGTTATGACAAATGCTGCCAGTAAGGCAAGGTAACTGAGAATTGAGAACTGACTCTTGGATTTAGCAACATGGAAGGCCTCTGGTGCTTGGCAAATCCATTTTGATGGAGTGGGAGGTGTGGTGAATGCCTGACTGGAATGATCAAGTGATAATGAGAGGACAGGAGGCGGAGAGAATCAGTAGGACAGCCTTTTGAAGAAGTTTATAATAAGGGAAACCGAGAAAGAGGGCCAAGCTAGTAGGGGATACGTGGTCCCGGGTCTCTTGTTTGTTGTTTGTAACAGGGGAGTAACCATAGCGTATTCGTACACTGATGGTACTAATGAGGTAGAGAGGGAAAAATTAATGATGCAGGAAAAAGAAGGAATATTTGCTGAAAATATCACAAGTAGGTCAGAGGAGAGGTAATAGTGCACAAATGGAGAGATTGGCCTTAGAAAGGAGCAGCTCATCCATAGTAAGAGAAAGGAAGATAGAATATATGAGCACAGGTGCAAGGGAGTAGGTAGATTCAGGGGTGAGAGCTAGAGTCCTCTTCTGTTTGCTCCTGCTTTTTAGAAAGCAGGCTCATCAGCTCAGAAAGAGGATGGAGAGAGAGTATTACAGGTATGAGGACAGAAGACAAAGTATAGCATAGTTGTCTACTGAGACAAGAAGGGTGAATTAGCTATAGGAAACAGTAGTACATTCAGTGGGCAAAAATTGGTCAAGGTGCCCCTCTCATTCTAGGAAAGAATAAAATGAAAGTAACAATATATCTTTGAATTTAGGTTTTGTATACATTTATGTTTTTTTCTGACATTTAAAAAAGTAGTCACTACTTACATGTTATAAAATAAAAGCAGAGGACTATGCTCGATGAAAAGGGACATAAAACAAGCACATTGTGTGGTCTTAGATTAGATATTGGTTTGGACAATCCAATATAAAATACATTTTGGAGATAGTTGGGAAATTTTAAATATGATCTGGGTAATATATGAAGTTAAAGTATTGAAATTACCTAGATAGAGATTATTGACTATAAAAAACAGGCTGTATAACACTATATACAATCAATTCTGGTTTTAAAAGAATGCATATGTGCACATATACATAGGAAAAGATCCATAAGAATATACACTAAGGTATTTATTCAGTATATGTATGCATATATATGTATATACTAGCACATGTCACAAAGGCAGAGGTGATTAACTACATCAGAAACCATAATCTCACATCTGGCCCTTTGCCCAAAAAATTTGCTAACCCTTGAAACAGAATAAAAACATTAACACTGTAGTAGATTCACTAAAATCTAAACAAGAACTAGACTCACAGTAATAATTAGGAAACTGCCAACAAAAACCAGATATCTTTTCATACCCATTGGACTGATAAAAGACATGGGCACAAGGGAAATGTCATACACTGATGAGAAGATGTACCCATACAACTACTTCGTGCATTGTTTGGCAAAATCTAGCAAGACAAGGCTTATGGATATCCTATGGCCCAGTAATTCCACTTGTAGGTATATGCCCTAGAAAACTCAGGCAGGAAGACATTTACAAGATGTGTATTATAACATATATCAACTCCTCCAGGCACTGCTATAATAAAAGGCCTTCAAAAGTTTCCATAAATTTTTGCTTCTGTAAATAAGGTGTGAAGTTAAGTATGTCATGACAGGTAACATTTGGTAACTTACTTGGCATTCTTTTCAGCATCTAAGAGAGCTTGTGCCAAATCCTTGTGTGCCTTTTCTGCTTCTTTTGTTAATTTCATATCATGTGCCCGAATCAGACACAGCTCCCTGAAATAAAGCAAGGAAATTCTATGTTCATGATTGAAGATTTCCAAAAAGTTTCTATCCAGGAAATCAGATTTATACTAAGGAATCCTCTCAGCTATCATGTGTACATCTCTTCCTAGTTTTTCCACCTTATAAACCAAGTCAAGAGGTCTGGTGTATGCTCAGATGGAATCCTGCCAGGTTTGGCAATGGAATCAGGCTGGTGAGAAAAGGCAGAAAGGAGAAGAGAGGAATCCTCTAGAATGGAGTGAAAGCAGACACAGATAGGCAAGCCCTCCAGGCTGCTCTGCCCAACCCTCTGACATGCCTGTCTTGTGCTCTTCATTCCTGCCACTAATTATCTTGCCACAAAATAAGATGGTCACTAATCCTGACTGCTGTACAATGCTTACTCTCTTTGGGATTTGACATCCATAATCATGGCACTGCTCTGCAAACCTGATTAAGATAAACATCTCTATCTTGGAAGGAAGCACAAGAGTTTTTTTCCCTGTTAAATATACACGGAGCCCTAGTTTTGTGTTAACCTGTATAACCCATGTCTCTACATCTTTATCTTCATCTATATCCAATCCTTTCTGTTCTCTTGCTAAACACAAAAGGAAAACAAAGAGTCCTTACCTTTAACCATTTTATTTTCCCTGAATATTTTTTACTCTCTTTATTGACTTGTGTTTTTTGTTTCAGATAATCACAGTTTTTACCTGGTCAGTTCCTCAATAACATTCTTGAAATTGTACAATTCTTCTAAAATGCGCTGGTCCAGCACTCGCTGAGTTACCAAGTCTTTATAGAAGTCAATCATTTGCCGGGCGATTTGGTCAAGCATTTGCACATACCGCTCTCTACATGAGGAAGACGGAAAACAAGACATCACACAGAAGAAGAAGAAGAAGAAGAAGGAGCCAGAGAAGATGTGAGAGAGTAAGTAACGCCAGGGACAGGGCACTATGAAGAGCCTGACTATTACAATACAACCATACTCATGACAGTGCACTTTCTGAAGCAGTACGGGGCTCGCAGGAAGAAAAAGAAGTCTCTGGGGATGAAAAACAAAAAACTACAAATGAAATTAAGTAAGCTAAGCAGGAATGGGAGGTGGTGAGCCAACCCAAGGTCAGGGTCATCCAGGAAATATGCCAACTTTGGGTCCCAGGAACTAAGCCTTAGGCCGGCTTACTGGGGACTTCTACTGGATCCTTGCAACAAGCTTCTAGAACAGGGAGGACTCTGTAAGATACAAAGCTAAGGACAACAGAAGTCTTCTTCACTGAAGATGGGCCCCAGACCTTCAAACGAACTCCTAACACTGTAAAATGCTGGCCTATTGATTATTCAGGACCTGTGACTGTTTGACCATTCCACAAACACATCATGAATGTTTGCAGTAATCACCCTGAAACCTCATTGCTTATTCTCACCTACTGTGTATTCTTAACTCCAACTTTATCCTGATCTAAATCCTTGGCTTTGAAGCCCTTTTCTGATCCTATCTATGGCACTCTGGAGTTAATATTTTTGTCTCCCTAGTGTCTGACTCAATATTTCCTACAGGATTTTGGCTTTGACTTGCCTGGATATCTTTGTCTAGATTTCCTGGGATAGGACCTCCCACCCTATTTTAGCCCCTAGAAGCTAACTCCTGAAACCAGCTGGAAGCATCCCACTCGCACATACTCCTCATAAGGGGAAGGTCTGGATACACTGTTAGTCATCTAATTACTTTGCCATGATTCCTTATCTATTCCTACCTATTCCCCCTGGCTTTGTTCTTGGATTAACAACTCAGACTTGAGCTGTCCCTATCCCCATTCCAATTTGGAATTCTCTTGATGGTGTTTCAACAACTTACTGCTTAGTATCTATCTTGACTAGTCTCTAATTAATGGCTTTGCTCCTAGTTTCTCAGCACCATCAGAGAAGGGACTTCCATAAATCAGGCAGTGGACAAATAGGACAAATTTTTATTATTAATTCCCATTCAAGAGATCTAATAATTTGCCTATGGTTCCATGGTAAGTAAGTTGCAGATGTATCATCTGAACCCAATATTCTCATTCTATTATTCTTTTCATCTTTTTGGAAGGTACCATAATCATAAGAACTGTAAAAGCAATAGTATTTGTCATCATCATCTAATATAATTGTACGTGTTGAGTACCTACTTCTGTGCTCTCATTCCAACCTCACCACAATCCCATGAAGCACCCTAATATTTAACACAGAGTAGGCACTCAATAAATACCACTAACTGATGAATGAATAAATACACAAATGAAAATTGTCATAGTTGCTGTTATCTTCATTTACAGGTGAGAAAACTAAGGCTCAGACTGTGGGTAAGGTCACACACCTAGATGATTTAAAACCAGATCCATTCTGTCTCTATGCTTTTCCACCATTTCACACAGCACTTTACTCCCAATCATAAAAGAATGTGGTATCAAACATCCCAACAGAAATCACCTTAAGGAACCTCTCAACTATTATACTTTTACTACAGAAATATAATGGAAATGCAAGTAGATTCCTTATTATCAACAGAAAAGTGGACTTGTGCAATTTTCTCAAAATCAGATATAAACAAAATATAAAATTCAAAAACAAATGGGGCTACTCCAATAACAGCTCTTACCTGATTTTAGACAGTAGTTCTCCTCTATCTGCACAGTCCACACTGACTTGTCGAATAAGTTCATGCAACACTGTATTGTAAATGGTCTGTTCCTTCTTCAACATATGTAGTAGTTTATGCATCTGATAGAAGATAAGCAAAATAATTAGTATTTATTACAGTCCTGTCAGCAAAAACCATTTTAGGAGGTAGGCAATCTGAATGTGCGTAAATTTTACACCTTGAATAGTTTATTTCATTTATATTTTCCTTAGAAACATGTTAAAATGACGTTATTTTTAAAAATCTGTCTAGTCATGGACCTCTTTACATGATGTACGAAGCAGGTCACAATATCAATCTGTATTATATCTGCCAAAAAATATATGACCTGGATATAATCATGAGTACACATCAGACAAATCAAAACTGAGCAACAGTCTACAGAATAATAGGCCTGTGCTCTTCCAAATATTAAGGTCAAGAAAAACAGAACTGCTTCAGATGACAGATATCTAAAGGAACATGACAATAAAAACACTGTGATCCTGGGATCCTGAAATGGAGGGGAAAATAGCTATAAAAGCCCCTTCTAGGAATAATTGATAAAATTTGAAATTTGACTATGAACTATATGAGATAATACTAATATCAATGTTAAATTTCCTGACTTCAATAACCATATCATGGTTATCTTACATGGGTATGTAAGAACATGCCCTTATCCATAGGAAATATACCCTGAAGTGTTTGGTGGTAAAGAGGCACGATGCCACCAGTTTACTCTAAAATGGTTCAGAAAAAAGCTATACATTTACAGAGAGATGTAGAGGGGAAGAGAAAATGATAAAGCAAATAGTGCACAATGTAAACAACTGGTGAATCTGGGTAAAGGATTCAATAAACAAATAGCCGTCATAAAGAAAAAAATTTATTATCTACATTAGACTGAAAGAGCTCTTTCATTAAGTAAAATTATACAAAAATTCTAAGTGCAAGAAAGCATGGTTTCTTTGCAGTATTTTTTAGTGGTACATAAAATAATAAGGGTCTTATAATCAATGGTGCCTTATATTCAATAAAATATAGTAATAATGCTAACAACTATACAGTGTTTACCACATCAAGCACTGTTCTAAGCACCTGACATTCATTATGTCCTTTAATCTCCACAACTCTATGAGGTAGATACTACTATTATCTGTAATTTAGATGAAGAAATCGGGGCACAAATATATTAAATGACTTGACCAAAGTCACCAACTAATAAATGGCAGGGCCCGGATTCCAATCCAGGCCTTCTACCCCCAGAGTGCATGTGCTTAACCATGATGTTACCTTGATCTTTGCAATTACCTGGGTTGGCCCCGCATATTCTTCATTTTCCACACCAGCCCTCTCTAGCATAGTATCCATCACATCATTCAGCTGGACCACTTCTACTCTTTTATTAGGTTTCCTAAAAGATTAAGATCTAGTGTTACAATACAATAGGTCATCCTCAAATGGCATAAAGAATATGTATAAAGAAAACATATATACCATGGAATGGCACTTGAAAGGATTAAGCCTGTATGTGTTGATCTACTGTAATACAGTAAAAAAAATACAAATAGTTTCATCTATGTTGGTTCATATTACAGAATATGAAACCCTCTTTTTCTTATAAGAAAATAATACTTCCCCCACAAATTCTATAAACTTATTGTGAAGGATTGTAAGAACATAGAAAACATAGTGAAATAACACCAAGCTGTTACTTTTACAATGTAAAATAAGAAACGGGAAAGAGGAGAGATAAGAAAACAAAAAGACTATGGCAAAATGGAAAGATACCAATGGTTCAATGTAGGATACAGAAGTATTTTATATATAATATAGCAATCCCATTTCTGAGTATTTATCCAAAAGAAATGAAATCAGGATCTCAAAGAAATATTAGTATTCCCATGTTCAGTGCAGCACTATTTACAATAGCCAAGATGTGGAAACAACATAAACTGATGGATGAATGCATTAAAAAATGTGGTATATACACATAATGGGACATTACTCAGCCTTAAAAAACATGGATATTCTGTAATATGAACCAACATAGATGAAACTAAAGAACATTATGCTAAATGAAGTAAGCCAGTCACAGAAGGACAGATACTGCATGGTTGCACTTAGGTGAAGTTATCTAAAACACTTAAAAACTCATAGAATCAGAGACTGGAATGGTGGTGTCCAGGGTAGGGAAGAGGGAAATGGGAAACTGCTAATCACAGCATAAAGTTTCAGTTATGCAAGATGCAAGCTCTATGGATCTGTTATAAAATACTGTATCTATAGTTAACAATACTATATTGCACACTTAAAAATTTGCTAAAAATATATTTCATGTTAAGTGTTTTTACCACAACAAAATTTTAAAAACCCAAAAAGAAATTTTAAACTATAAAATGTGTATTTTACAGTATTTAAATATTACTATAAATTTGTAAAAAACTGAATATGCAATTAGACAAATGAAAACACTGATTAAATAGTAGAATTGTGGGCAATTGTTCTATTGAGTTTCTCCTATAATTTTTACTTATTGTGTGTAATAAAGTACCAAGAAAAAGGAATTTATATGTATATAGTTCTTTCTGAGAAACTTGAAAAAATAAACTGTACTTACATGGATGGGAAGAGCAATAGCCTGTTTTCACTATCTGTGAGAAGAGTAGTATATTTGCTACAATAAATAAGACAAGTAAATGTTATGGTAAGAAAATTATCTGGCTGATTTATCATGTATCACAACATGATAAACCTAAGATCTCATGAAATTGAGAAGCCTGGTGGCATTCCAAAACGTCCATCATATTGCACACAAGATCATACTTACATACTTTACAAACACAGATATAATGATGTTTATCATATTTGGAACATTTTTAAATAATGGATCTTCAATCACATTCCACAATATGTCAAATATAAAAATGTCCTTGATTCATTTTTTAAAAAAGGCCTTTTCAAAGGTGGAAGGGTATTCAGTGACTAAACAGGTTATAAAATTCATAAGCAGAGATGAAACTAGTACCCAGTTTTCCCAACTCCTAGTCATATATGTTTTCTGAAAGTGCTTGTTTACACCTAAATGAACATCACAGTGAGAACCACATGGTAATCCCTTAACTTCATTACCATTTATATATTTATCTCTTCCCCTAGTTAATGAGCATTTCCTTTGGTTCTGATCCCTACTAGAATTTAGTTGGTTAATAAGGCCCATTTTTAGAATGTAAATAGGTGAAAAATCTCTAAGGAATATAAAGATTCAAAATGAAGTTTCAAAAATGAGTATGTGAGAGGGAGTGAAAGCAATGATACCCCAGGAGCTATGAGCACACCTAGCTCCCAGGTCTTGTTTTCTAAGTATCATTCTCCACTAAAAGAAATCAGTACTCCCTGGAGAAGTGATTCTTAGCTTATTCTAGAGCTGGAGTTGGGAAATACAAGATGAACATGGAAATTTTAATGAGCTAAAAAGTAAGTGAACATTCAAGGAATGATGGGGACATATTCAAACAACAAAAGAGCCAGCTCAAAGAAGCTGCCATTGGCCAAGTCTGAAAATTTTTGAACATCAAAATAAATAATGACAGTGAGGAATTATAACCCATTGAAAAAAATGGTAATTCACAAGTCTATATGGTAAAATGCCAACTAAAAACTATAGAAGAAATGATGGAGCTAAAAAAGGCATCAAAGAGAACTATAATGAGAGGGTTGCCAGGAAACATATATTAAAGTGTTTGATGGCAAAGGGTCATGATGTCTCCAAACTTACTCTTGAATTGTTTAAGTGTGTGTGTGCGTGTGTGTGTTAAAGCAAATAAGTCAAAATGTAAACAGTGAGTCAGGGTACAGAGTACATGGGAGTTCCTTGTCCTATTTTTTGACTTTTTTATAATTTTAGAACTATATAAAAATAAAAAGTTACACCCCAAAAAGAGCTCTATTTAGTTCTCTTTGACAAAATATTGCTTTGAAACCCACCATCATAAGGAAAAGCCATATAACATATATTATTATATGTGTAACATAAGGTAAAGAGTGACAGCCTCTGGATATTTTATTATAAAACATTAATCCAAAGTTCTAGTTTTTTAAACTATGAAACATTCTAGTGTTATTTCAGAAAATAATAGCGAGATCTCATTTTCAATCCCATCAACAGGAATCAAAGAAAACTGGAGGTCACTAGTCTGCCACCAGAGGTAAGCCCTAGAGATGGCATTATGAGACTCCAGCTTAGCAGTTACTTTCCTTTTTCTCCATGGTTATTGCTCAAAACCATCCCTTAAGAGGCATAGTCAAGCATTGAGAACAAAAATCTATTTCCTTTAAATTCAAAATTAAACAAAAGAAAGACAGTGAACAATTTAATCACCAAAATCCCAAAAATTTTAAAGACTTTTTCATTAGTTTTTGATATCGTTCTTAAATTGTATTAGGATGGTAGCCCAAATGTTTCCTGCATTTCAGTGTCAATATTGCCTGGGAACATGAGTGAACTGTTCTCAGGTTCCTCTATGTCTGGGAAGGAGGAAACAGTTCAATTTGTCAGATATTCAGTATATACCATAATACTCACTCATCATAACACTCCAAACCTGAAACTCCTGTATTTGACACAATATGAAATTCTTCAGGAATCAAAGTATCTGTTAGTTTCTTTGGCTTAAAAAGAAAGAATGAATGACAAAAATGAAGACACGAGTAGATGAAAATAACTGAGTTGTACAAATCTTAATTCCTACCCAAAAAGGACAGTATTTATTAAGTTAAGAGATTTTGATTAGAGAAATAACAATATTAGTAAAATGGGCCATGCTAAGTAGGAAAACTTTTGGCAGAGCCACGTTAAAAAAAAAATAACTATGAATTAAAGAAAAGCCTTGGTTTTAGTATTAGTTACTGTGTCCCATATACTCAAAAATCCAATGACTTTAAGATTCAATAGGAATTTAAAATTTACCTTATCTACATGGAAAAAATAAGAATGCTACAACTTTAAACTCTGGATTTCTAAAAAAAAAAAAAAAATCTAGTCTCCTATACTATATATTCTAAAGTAGAAAACTGTAGTTTGGAACATGGCTTAAAATATTTTTTATCTTTTCACACTAAATTCCCTTTTCTGGAAATGGAAAGTGCTATGAAAACTGATAGGCAATACATGTCACTGTTACAGTTCAACATTGCTTTGTATTTTGAGGAAATGTTTTCTTCTTAAGTTGAGAGAGAGGAAATTATTTGTCAAACACTTGATTTACCTTATGAGTCACAATGACACCATCATGTGACTGTAATGAACGGTCCAAAGCTGGGGGACAAACTGTATTTTCCCGAGTCTCTCCTTTAACATATTTCACATCATACAGGAAAGAAATATCCCTAAAAAATAATAGAAATATATTTATAAAATAAATTTTCTGTCTGGCTACTGGATAAGAGGATAAAATAGGTCCACAAAGATCCTTCTAGTGGGTAACAAAGGACATAAAACTGGTCTCCTTGCCTCATACTTGACTAAGAAGGCTAAGACATTAGACATGAGTTTCCCCAGATTCTACCTCCTCCACATCAAATTTCTTATCAAATTTCTTATTCACATAACAAATTCTTTCCTTTCCTTTCCTTAAATCTCTGGTTAAGATGTTTTCTCTTCCTCAGAATTATTTCCTGCACTTATGTCCTTGATTTCATCTGTGCCCACATTCCTGTGGATCTCATTCCATAAGTCACGATTTCTGGGTACTTTCACCACTCTTAGAATAATACTCTTTTTGTATAACACAAATCTTTCCCCCTTCTAAAAATATTCCCTTGACCATACACTGTTGTGTTGTTAGTAGAATCTATCTATTATCTAGCTACCTATATTTCTATATCTGTCTGCTTGTCTGTCTATCTATCTCTCGCTTTCTGTTTAAACATCAGACTTCTGGAAATTTCCCTGCACTCTGATTTTCATCCTTACCTCTCTTCCAAAACAATTTTTCAGAAAGCTGACCATAACTTTCCACGGCTAAGTCTTCAGTTATTTTCTTTTTTTTAAAACTTTTTTATTAAGGTATGATTGATATACACTCTTCTGAGGGTTTCACATGAAAAACAATGTGATTACTACATTTACCCATATTATCAAGTCCCCACCCATACCCCAATGCAGTCACTGTCCATCAGTGCAGCAAGTTGCTAGAGATCCACTATGTCCCTTCTCTGTGATACACTGTTCTCCCCGTGATCCCACACACCATGTGTACTAAACATAATACCCCTCAGTCCCCTTCTCCCTCCCTCCCACACCCCTCCCCTTTGAGAACCACTAGTTCATTCTTGGAGTCTCTGAGTCTGCTGCCATTTTGTTCCTTCAGTTTTGCTTC